TGCATGTTCTTTTGTGAATGCCTATTTGATGGGGAAGGATCTTTACAGAAAATGGTCAGGCTGGGATTACACAGCATCTTTCAATATGTTTTCCCCTAGAAGACATTGTTAAAGACACAAAGTTGTAGTCTAGTATAATTGAAAATAAAAAAAAAGAAGTGAGTTTAACAAAATACACTGATGTATGATAAATGTATAATTTACTTCCATTCTTGATTTAAAATGGATTTGTATTCCATTTAGTATTGCTTATTGAGTGTGAAAACTGAATTCATCTGTTACTTTTCAATCAGTTATCATCTTACCATTGAACAGAACACAATTAATTGCATGCTATTAAATAACTTACTTAATCATTGTAGTTGCCAAAAAATAATAAACTATTCAATTCTTCTCTGTATGTAATTAATAATTGTACACAATAGAAAATAATTTGACATTAGTAAGCAATTACTACTTGATTATTTCAGTTAGCAAAATCCATTACTACAACTTTCCAACAATTATGTAATTTAGTGTAGTATATTTAATCCACATGTAAGATCAAAATAAATTTTAAAATTATATTTTCCCACATAATAATTTTAAGAAATTTAAATAACTTAATTTTTAAAAGATGACAATGTCAAAAAAGGATGATCCTTGACAAATTTTACAAACTCCTATTTTTTATAAATCTTTGCTATTTTTAAATTTTGGATTTTAGACTCTATATCATGAAAAAATATTAGATTATCTATAATATGATACTATTTATACATTTAAAGTTTTAAAATTTCACTCAATTTCAATTATGCTTTTCCAGCTTTGATTTTTTTTTCATTTTTATCATCCACACAACTTGTGTTTTACTGTAGTTTTCAGCATTGAACTATATATTCAGTGTAATGTTTTACTATAAAATGTTATTGCTCTATACTTTTTTCATGTGTACATATCCTTCATCCTTCCTCTCTCCAAACTATTAGTGTCCTTAGGTGTAGGGAACTACATGTGTGTGTGTGCACCTGCATGCGTGTATGACTATGTGTGTTCTCGTATATACTTTATCTACCTGACTGATTATTACACATATGTCGGTACTGAATTTAATAATAACAAAAAATTGGATTGATTCTTAGCATGGGGCTTTGCAAAAGGTCAATGGAAGTCTTTCTGAAGAGGTTGCAAGCTTTGGACAATTTTAAAGATTCAATGACAAGGATTTCTAAAACCAGCTGTACACTATTTTCTGAATTAGTTGTTCAGTCATATCTTTGCCTCCCAAGTTTGCTTTCTGTACTAAAATCAAAGTGATTAAAAATTGAAAGTAATCAATGCTGCCACATTATCCGCTTGAGAAACCTTAAAATATCTACAGTCAAAGAAATTCAGGAGAGAATGGGATCAAGTTATCTTTCGTTTTGCTGAATGGAATAGAAGAGATGATTGAGAGACGCAGTGAATGGCTGAATTTTTTAAAAAGGCCTTATTACAGAAAAAGTCATATTGTCAAGAAAAGTAGAATAAGTGAGTTCGAAATGAGGAGGGATATTGTGAATATTTTGAGGGTCATCAATGGCAATGTGTCTTTTTTTAAAATTTAAACATTCATCGTGTACCTCACACTTCGGAGATATATTTTACATTAACGCTTTTAATCTCAATACTTTTTAAATTTTTCTTGTTCACAGTATTACTCAACTTTACGTCTTATCTCATCCTGGTCCCACACTCATAAAATCCAGTTTTATTTTAAATTCCAACACAGACACGGGGTTTAGTGAGGTTTTCACACATATTTCCTCCCTAACCTGCTCCATACACATGTTATGAGTGGAGACTCCACTCTCTACCGATGCATCATCATTTGGAAGGGCTGCTGGCTAAGTGTGTGGCTGGATCTTCTTTCTCTTCTCAAATGCAAATCTTTTCAGAAGAGCGATCTTATTTGGGTTCATTTACCTAGACGACACATAGGAAAAACTTGGTGTTTGCTGGGTGGAGGCAGCATTTGAAATAAAAACAGGAAGGGACTGAGAAATGCTAAGTACAGAGAGGAAATAACACCCAAGAGCAGTGGGATGGAACCTCATCTCTCTCTCTGGTTAGCTATTACCCCAGTCAAGCATAATTAACGATGGTGATGGAAACTGGGATTGAGATGGGATTCAGAAATGCAGAGCAGATGACCAAATCCAACCACCTCTGGCATCATTTTTTCCTATGGCCTGCTCTCTTATAACTCAGTTTCTCACAAGGAATAAGCTCTGTTCCTGGCTCCCAGCTCTGTGCCCATCACCTCCATTTCACAACGTTTCTGGCTTTGCTCAGCACTGCACACACCTCCATTTGATGATGTCAGGTATAGAACTTCACAGCTGCGTAGTTCAGAAGAGTGCAGTAGTCCTGCCCATCTCAATCTGAAAAGGTTTCCTTTTTCAATATATACGTTGACTTGTTTACACTGATGGGGTTGGTTTACTTTCTTCTTTCCATTCAGTTCGTGAGGAGCTAAAAGTGAACCGTTAGCTGTGGACTAGCTCTTCTTCCCACTCTTAGCCCTGGACGATACACTACGGTTGCCAATAGACTCAAAACTCAATGATTAGTGGGGGGAAACAGCAAAACTCTACTCCACTTAATTTTTCTTTCTAATATGAAGAGAAGGAGAAAGCTTTAACCCATTTACATTTAAAATTTAAAATTTGTATTTAAGGCACTTAACAAGGTCTTTTGCACATTGACAGCTTCCTTTTTAACTCATCCCAGACTGGGCTCTGGTATGTGTCATGTCTTAATTTGCAGAATATATGCACTGGCATAATGTTTAATTAGGCTTCGGTGTCAACTTTAAATCTAACACTATCAGCATCTAATAAAATACCAGAATCTCTTGGCTTCTGTGTGACAGATCTCCTGAAAAGAAATCTACTTTCTCTGACTGAGTCACAGAGAGAGAGAGAGAGAGAGAGAGAATAAAGAAAATATTAGAAGATATTGCACTCATTTTTATAGTTGAGATGTTCCTGTGACCATAGTTGCAAGATAGAAGATAATACAGTGAAAGTGACTGTTAAAGGAAATCAGATGTATCTTCCCTTATACGGTTAGTAGAATTTAAACCGATGGGTATAAATTAAATTTATGTATACAAGATTACTTTTCATTGACTGACATTATGAATTCAGCTGGGTCTCATTTTTATTTTCATTTTTTTTTTTAACTTTCACTTCAGGGACTAATATGAACACACAAGGTTAAGATACAACCTTGGTCTTCAAAAAGGCCACAGTTTAGCACTTGAGGTAAGATAGGTACAAAACAATAAAAGCAGGCAAGCTGTTAACTACTGATCCTGGGAAAATTGTTTAGCATTTGTTAATCTCATTATTCCTTCCACTAATATGATAATAGTAATACTAACATCAAAGTGTTGTCGGCTACATAAAATATGTATGCAAACTATTATACTTAATTCAGTGCCTAGCACATAATAAATATGAAAAATATTTTAGTTATAATAATCTATGTATTGCTAATTTTTAGGAGAGTAAAAATTGATGTAACAAATGTACGCTTGTATTCTAGCTTCTTACTGCCACAAAAGATGTGGAATGATGTGAAGAAGGGGTTAGGAGTCAAGGAGAGTTTGTCTTTATTGGGAGACATCTACTGGATGATACAGAATCATCTGACTATCTTAAGGCCCTCAGTCATACCTAGAAGTCCTTTTACTTCATAAGGTAACAGTCACAGGTTTCAGGGGCCAGGCTCTGAGTATCTCTGGCAGCTTTATTCAACTTTTCAAACGTTTTTAGAGAAAATTCAATCTGGAAATAGTGTGCCAATTTCACATTGTCAATAGGAAGAAAAGGGCTAAAGGTGTAGGGGAAGTGGGAAGGGTAGGGGAAAGGAAATAAGGGAAAAGAAAAAAATATATGAGAAAAAGAAGAAACGGAAATAAAGTACTTGTAAATAGGGAAGGGAGGAGGGGTTGAAGGGAGGGCTGGGTATAGGCAAAAAAAATGAGAACCAAGACCTGTCATGTAAAGGTGCAAGGTCCCAATGATGAATGTGACTGTACTGTGTACCTAAAATGGACCAATAAACTCAATGAGAACAAACAAACAAAAAGAAATAGTGTGCCTAATGCTTTCATCTCCCTTTCACATATGGAACCCACGTATCTCATAATATTTTTTATAGAGACTCCTAGACACCATGATCTTTTCAGAGTGCTTAATTTCTTAAGATACATTCACTTGCATTTCAGAGATGTTACAGAAGCTAGTGAAAGTGCAGTGGCACTATGTGTCATCTAGCATAAAAGCAGGGAGAGGGAGTGGCTTGACACAGGGAAGTTCGGGTTTTATGTAATACAAATGACATCATCAGTATATCTTAGCAATTAACCCAAGTAATTTCATAGCACTCCTGCTCTTACTCCAGAAGTTCAGGGTCTACCTATCTGTCTATATTTGAGCTCCAAATCTTACCTGTTTGAGCTCTAAAGACCCTAGAGGATTAAGGATTATGACATCTAGTTTTCTTTATCTTCTGTCCTCATACAAAGCAATTGATACTCTTTTTCTTTGAGAACTCTCCCATCTTAGGGAAATTACATATTCTCAGACTAGGGAGATTTATTTGGGTAGAAATGGACATTGGTGTTTCCCCCCTCCCCTCATCAACACTCTATTTTATCAGAGAAAAGTCAATGTTAGCCTTATTTCTAAACTGGAGTTTACCAATCTGTGTTGTGTGAACTATAAATGCCCTCCAAATTCTGGGGAGAGGAAGGGACCTTTATCTCAACTGATTGCTGCAAAACAAAAAACCAAAAAAACCAAATAAAAAAACCCTATAAAATAGCTATTTAAGATCCCATTCACAGAAAAGGTAAAGTGTCTTAGAAAAGTGAAGTGATGCATGCAAATCTCCATAGTACACATAGAAGAAGAATTTGATTCTAACTCTTCGATTTTTTTTGCTTATTCCTTTAACATCTTGTATTACAGAAAAAGTCACAGAAAAAGCTACTTTTCCAGGCAGGCCATAAGGCCTTGCTTGTTTCAGAGAGATCAAAGATCATGGTAAGTTGTCTTAATTGTGATATATACATACACATGGACTTAAATATGCTGGGAGAAGTCTAATGAATCAGTTTAAAATTGGGGCAGGAGTCACATACTAACTAATGTGCCTCCATCAGTCTTCATACATCAGTCTTTTATATATAACTCAGAAATTATAGGTAAAATGTTCAGTTGCTAAAGTTATAACTTCTCTCTACCTTTAGGAATCTCTTGTAATAGTGTCAGGACTGAGTCACTTTTTCTACCCACTTTGGTGCATCTTGTATTTGAGAAGTGTGCACGCACACACACAGATACAGACACACACACACACACACACACATTTCTGTTACGTTTCCTCTATAATTTCTGCAGTGCTCTCATTCACTGGGCTACAGGGCTCACCCTAAATGTTCAGCCCATCTGCTCAGGGAATGATGCCTTTGCCACAATTATTTAATCATATTACAGCAAATATCAAATATAGCATGAATGACAAGGGTGAGACTACTCAAAGGAAAAGAAAACAGGAGGACTCAACACAAAGTCTAGTGCCAAATATGTGTCCTATGTGTAAAATATACATTTATAGCTTTGGGAAGCAATGGAAGGATAACTTTTAAAAATGATGCCGAGAGTTCTGACATACTGGCTTGACTGAGAAAAATTGTGGTTCTGAACAAACTGTTCAAGATAACCTGGTGCCCTCGGGGGAGGCCATGCATTTGCGGTAACATACTGCTTGCAAGAAAGCATGGGTTGGAAAGTAATGGATTCACCAGTATTTTCTATTCAGAGAAGTAGTGTTTGTAAGTTGAATTTGAATATCTTTAGATAGAACTTGCACTTTCTACTTGCCTGCTATCCTAACTTCTTCCCGCATTTAAGTTGCCTGCCTGAAATCTGAACACAAGTGTCAGCAATGGGCTCATTATCTTCGGTTGCCTTGTTATAAGGATTTCCAAGCTTTGATAGCTTCTATGATCAATCCTGTTTCCTCACAAGGGGGAGACCAGGTAAGGTGGGCTTTCTCATCTGCAAGGTATGTGTGAAGTACATCTAGCAGGGCTGACTACATGACCTGGGAGGCTCAGTACAAAATGAAAACACCAGCCTTCTTTTTAAAAAATGATTCCAAATTTTTTTTTAAAAAAAAAGGTAGCAGAAGGTCGAACAAAGCTGTAGGTCCTGCTGAGGTGATACGCTAGGCACCTTTCCAGGCTGGAAACCCAGGAGGAGGCCTTGATGCTAAGGGCTGAGAGGCTGTCCTTCCTTTCTCTAGATTTTCCAGTGCACCAAGGTTTCCCCATCCCATAATCATCCTGCTCGAATGGGAGAAAGGTGGGGATCGTCTTTCTAAAATTACCTACCAAGAAGAATAAGCCAACTTACTGAGTTAAGGTTTCACTTAACAGGACAAATAAGGAACAGTAGTCTTTTCTTCTCAATAATTTCTGGCAAATCTCCTGGCTTACTGAAAGCAAAACCTCAACAATATCATCACCATTTTAATCACTAGGGTCATATAATACATCATTTCTTTATTGTCACTTTACTGTGTGCAAACATAAAAGAACCTTTACACCTATTGATCTTATACTTCCCATTTATTATAAAAATGGGAGCTTAAACAAGCCAAAAAGCAATGGATTATGCTATAAAATGGCATAGCAAGAGAGCTTGATATCTTTTTGTATTAAGAATTGCAAAAGTAACCAGAAATCTTTCCTGGAAAAGAGAGCTTTCAGTTAAGCTAGAAAACGGATCACAAATTTTTATCTCTTCTCCTCCCACTACAATTATGTACATTTTAAAAATAAAATGCAGATCTATTAACTCAAAAGAGAGAAAAAACATGGTACTAGATGAAAGATATAGACGGTATATTGAAAAGAGAAAGGAGATGAACTACTTTGTAATTTGCTCAGCAGAGTAAAAATATCCAAACTCTAGTCTTCCCTGCAGGAGTAAAGAAGAAGCCACTCTACTGAAACTTTAAAACCTTAGACGGTTTTGGAAATTGGAGACATTCCTTACTCCTGAAGGTGGAGATCGGAAGGAAGTGAAACAGAAAGATTGCTTCAGAGTAAAATTGAAATCCAGTGCATTGCTCACGTCTCTTCCACCCTTTGCTTACAGATGATTACTTTCTTCTCCTTTCCGGAAGATAAGATGCTTTACTCTTTAAAGAAAATGAAACGGAGTTTCTAGGTAAGGAAATGTGAGGCTCACTAAGGAGAAAGGAGAATGTGGCTCACTAAGAAAGGTGATTAAGTGAAAGTATTCACTCTGACCTATGAGTTTCCTCAGGCTTTCCAATCCCTTCACTTTCCAGAATGCAGGCAGCTTGGATCCTCCAGGAAGGAGATTGGGAGCTCCCTCTTTAGGAAAGCAATGGTTAAACGGGAGCAGAATCCAGTCTTCATACTGTGAATCACAATAATCATCCACACCTCCCAGGTACACAGAGCTTCTAATAACCCTCACTTATAAATGGACAAAATTTCCAACTGCACAACTTACTGTATGAAAGATTTATTTTCACTTGCCATTTCAGAGGTTTAAATACGTGATCAGCTGGCTCCCAGGTGAGAACATTATGGGGGAAAGCGCATGGAGGAACAAAGCTCTTCACTCCACGGTGTCTAGGAAACACAGTAGAGGACCTTTGCCAAAGAGGAAGGGGCTGCTTGATGTAATACCCAAGGTCACGGGACTATGGTCCACCTAGACCGAGATGAGTGCTTTGCTAATTCCCTAGGTGGCTCCCAAGCCAATCATATTGACAGCGTAGCTTAACTGTCACATGGACTGTTGAAGGTCACCTTAAATTTTATCTAACTTTATAGACAAAATAAAAATCAACAAGTACACAAAACCAACAAGTAGGAAACTAACACAATCACAAGCAAGCTTTTAACAGCCCTCAGAGAAGTGAGAAGCTATATTGCATTGATTAACCTTAAACAGGATGATATTAAAATTAAAGAGTCAGCAAGCAAGAAAGAGCTTTAGAAAAGTAAAAATATAGTATTAACAGTAGAAAATAAGAAGAGTTGTAATATAAAACAGAAATTTGCATATACTACGGTTGCAAATCTCTACTCTTGAGCTTCTCATCTGATTACATCACAGAAGCTTAGATTTGTTTTTCTTCTTCCTATGTTTTCTTCCAATAAAATACCTGATAATCTTTGCCTGAACTCTCAGGGTAAGAAGAACATATTGATTTTTATCACTTCCCAATTTTTCCATAGGTCCTGATAGCAAATGTCAGAACCACGGTCTTCATCTTTCATGTCTCTTTAGACACCGTGCACCTTCTTTTAAGGGCCACATATAAGGAGCCTTTTCACAGTCTTTCCACACTGGAGCTTGTTCTCACTGTTCTTATTACCATCTTTTGTTTGCTTATCTGTTTCACTTGAAAAAACATCTGCGCGCTGTGTGACCAGAGAACACGGTACATCCTTTATCCATATAAATGTTTATAATAAACCACAACTAGCTCTCAATCAGAATGGAATCTTAGTAATTGTCCAGGAATATTAAGTGTCAAAAGAGAAAGGCATTTATCTTGCATTTATCCAGTACCTAGTGTATAATACATAACAGACATTCATTACACATTTATTAAGTAAATGAATGAATGCTATATGACATCAAACCATAGTTAGAAGGTGATCATATTTTCCAAATAGAGATGCTTAGCCCCACCTCTAATGGCACCTTCCCATCATTTATATGGCAAAAGAGGATGACATGGCAGCAGTGGGAAAGTGGGCAGTAACATTAACATGGGCACTGAAATCATATCAGCGAAGGTCAGAAAGAGAGAGGCTGTCCATGTGATTTAGCAGTAGGGCACCGTCGTTATCATGCACATCACAGCACACTTTTGTGAGGGAAAGAGGGTGATAAAAATAATAGTCAGGTATTGATTGATGTAAATAGACACAAACCATGAATATTGCAGGCAATCAGGAGGTATGAATCACCTTATTTAGAGTTTTCTTATATGGATTATTTTAGATCAATAATAAAATTAGAATAACTTTCACCAGACTGCTCTTAAATTATAACTTGGATTATTATAAAAAGATTTTTCCAGCATTTAAAAAATTGATAAGAAGACCTCTGTATGATTTTAGTTATCCCAGGAACGAAAAGTTAAAAAAGTTTAATGACAGGAGCATGATTTTCAGGAAAACGTCCGTGAGGATTTGGTGCACTCGGCAACATTTTGTCCTTAATACGCCTGGTGCTTCGTCTAAATAATTCCATGTCTGAACCTGGGTATGGGGCTAAGGTCAGAGCCTTTCTGTTCCCCCTGGCTTCGACTCCTTATTATATATATGTTTTCTCTTCTCATGACCCTTTATGTTTTGTTAAAGGAGCAATGCACTCTCACTCATCAAATCCACGCCCCGTGTAAAGGGGCTCCAGGAGGCTGCAGGAGGGCCAGCACCTCCAAACAGGCTGGGTGAGGGGCTGCCAGGTGATGAATGGATGCGTGTAGAACGAGGTAATAAACCAGCACCCCAGCCATGTAATCTTCCATTAAAATGAAATGCATACCAGGCATGTGGCTTTTCTGCAGCTCGTACCCTCTCCCATAGAAGATCATGAATAAAAGAGGAAAGTGTACCGCTGACAGACGCCAGCATGCATAAAGGACACTTCCTATAAAGGCAAAGCTCCGGCTAACAGATGGACTAAAGATGTGAGCTGCAGAAAGATTTACCAATCTAAATAATTCAAGGGAATGTCGTATGGCACACTAGCGCTTTTGGAGGGAGCCAGCAGAAGGTGCAGATGGAAAGGCAGGCCGAGCCTTTCCCATAAACCCATTACGAACAGTGCTTGTCTGAGCGACGGTATGTCGCAGAAGGCCCAGGGAGAGGCCAGCAAATGAGAAATTTGCTTCTAGACTTTGTCCCACAAGGTCAAGAGCATATTTAATAGTGAAGGTTGAAGCATTCATGAGACTGAAAAGGGGTGTTGTGTGTTCCATTGCGCATCCTCCTGCTTTCTTCGAAACTCTCCTCTCCTCAGATTTTTGTCTTGTGAGCACTAAAAGCATGGAAGGTGTTGTCAAAGATCTTTGAGAGGTCTATCAGGAATCTTTTTATTTCTCAGTCAGGCACAAGTTCTAAGCTCCAAAGCCAAATTACAGGTGGGAACCTTGCTTTCAGTAACTATTCCTTAGAAACATATAACTGTATCTTCTGCCCTGGGGCTCTGTGGATACTTGTTGTCCGTGCCTGCTCATGTAATCTTAAATCCTATACTTTGCATATTTGTGTACTTAACCTGGCTTGCATAACCTATTATTTATATGCAACTTGACAAAAAGTCTCTTCCTCACCCACTGGGCCATTGTCTAAACAGATACTCAATAAACACTTCTTGATGATGAAACTCTTTCAACAAAAAGGAGTCTTCCCTTAAGCGCCTCCACACCTGGCAGGACTGTGCCAAAAAGGTCAGCAGCCACAGCAAGAGAAGCTGTGATAGGTGACATCACACAGTGTGTTGCAGTACTGCTGACCCCGTCAGAGGAGAGCTAGTCCATCCCAGCTTGCCTCTCAGGAGCTGGGACACCCACCCAAGGGTAAGCCTTTACTCCCATACTGCAAAACAGATAACTTAGCACAGTAATTTCTAAGCTGTCTTTCAGCTATATTTGGAAAGATAAAGGACTTTCAGGTACATATTTCAGACATTCAGGCAATGTCTATCCATGGTTCACAAGCTTTCCTACAATATCTATGACTGAGACTCAAGTATCATGGAGTTAAAAAAA